ACGACGATAATAACGCCAGGTGCGCAGGTGTATTTAGTGGATTTGGATAAGGGGACCTTCATCATCAGCCCCGGGTTCCCGAGCGTTCTACCCGCACACGAGTTACGAACGCTCGAGATGAGCCTCGAGTCCATTGTGGCTTCCGGAAAGAGTACGTGGAAGCCCTGGTTTCATGAGGCCACACACACGACGCGACGCGACAACACACACACACACACACACACCGATGATAACTTATTGTAACAACTCACGGGACGGACCGGTCTTTCTTGGTGGTGCGCAGAGGGACGAGCGTTCGACCTGGACGTGGCGGCGGCGTTCCTGGACTTCTTCCAGAGCATCCTGTCGGGCTACGCCCAGTTCATGCGGAACAACAAGCTCAACGTGCAGGCCTTCCGCGATGCCCAGCCGCCGGCCATCAAGTCATTCCTCGACCAGTTCGAGGCCTCTCAGATGTGGTTCAGCTTCATCATGGAACGGTACCGGCTCGCACGCACACGCACACAACACGCGACGCGGCTGCTTACTGACGGGCGCTGGAATGAATCATAGGGAGACGATGTCCGAGAAGGGCACGCTGCGGAACTGCGTGCTGCTGAAGGCCCAGACGCACACGCCGGTGGCGCACAACCAGATGGAGCAGCAGCCGGCCGTGTTCGAGGTCTGCTGCAAGTGCGGCTGCGACGTTGAGGGCGACACGCAGGATAAGGACGGTCGCCCCATCTGCATGGCATGCCTCGAGGCCAAGGACCGCAAGGGCCTCGGCATGGGCGGCTGGTTCAAGAATTTGCGCGGTACGCACACACGACACGACACACGGTTCTTCGAAGCTCACAGCCGAGAGCGGGTACTTCGGAGCAGGTGAGGCCGCGGACGAGAGCAAGGCACTGAAGTCCAAGGTGGGCAACGTGAGCAAGCGATTCGGCAAGAGCAAGGAGAAGCCCAGCAGCAGCAGCAGCGAGTCACAGCAGCCCTCGCCCGCAACCACGCCGAGCAATGGCGCGTCGGCGCCGCCCTCGCTCACACGCGGCTCGCCCGGGTCCGCGTCGGCGCCTCGA